AGAAATCATTATAATATGCTGATTTACTGCTCAAGAAACATTTCTGATTATTATTATTATTATTATCATTATCATCATCAATATTTAAAACAGTTGAGTACATTTTTCTTTGATGAATAGAAAGATCCAAAGATCAGCATTTATCTGAAATAAAAAGCTTTATACACTCTACTATTCAAAAGCTTGGAGTTTTTTTTAATTTTTAAATTTTATTATTTTAGGGGGAAAGAAATTATAGAAATGAACACTTTTATTTAGAATGGATGCTTTAAATTTAGATTAGATTAGATTTAACTTTATTGTCATTCTACAGAGTACAAGCACAGTACTTGTATTGATGATACAGACATTTATAATGTTACGAAATATTTCTATTTCGGATAAATGCTGTTCTTCCAAACTTTCTATTTATCAAAGAAACCTGAAAATTCTACTCAGCTGTTTTCAACATCATCATAATATTAAAAAATATTTAGCAGCAAATCAGAATATTAGAATGATTTCTGAAGGATCGTGTGACTGGAGTTAAGATGCTAAAATTCAGCTTTGAAATCACAGGAATAACTTATGTTTTAAAATGTATTCAAATAGAAAGCAGTTATTTTAAACAGCAAAAATATTTCAAAATGTTAATGTTTTTGCTGTACTTTTGATCAAATAAATGCAGGCTTTGTGAGCAGAAGAGACTTCTTTAAAAAACGTACTGTTCAAAAAGTTTGACTGGTAGTGTATGTTTATAATTATTTTCATTATCAATTAGAATTGATTTTGTTGATTAGTTCCAAAGGAAGCCACCATGATAAAGTCACCAGAGTTACACTGCCACAAATATGACTGCTATTTGCCTTGATGACAAATCCAAAAGGAAAGCTGATATTTATGTCAGAAAAGATTTTAGCAGGTAATTAGTAGTAAATATTCAGTCTCCTCCACTAATCAGTTCATAAAACATGAGACGTAAATAAACATACACACATTCCAGTGCTTACATGCTTAATTAGTTCCTATATTGATCAGATTATTTCAGGTCTGCAGAACTCCTTTCAATCCATTCAGATCAACTGAAGGCTTTTCAGCCCGACTGAATCATCGATCCATTATAGATGGATTATTTTAAAATGCATTTCAAAGTAGCTATTTTTGTACAGACAGCAAATCCACTATCTACTACAGAAAACATCAATTTTTTTGTGTTCCCTAAAGATTTTGACTAAACAAAAGCAAAAATCACAATGTGTCTTTGAGAGATGGACACTGACTGACCTCAATGACCTCTAATCATGCCAAACAACGCCATTCTGTCAGATGTCAGTGGTGCTGATAGCAAATGATCACAGCTCTACTGCAGTGGTTATGATATTTGGCACAAACTCGTATCAGAATGATGCAAGAGATTAAGACTGACGGTACAGAATAGTGTACAAAAACCAAGACCAGTTCAAAGAACAGCACAGAGGGTTTGAGACGAGTAACAGAGAATCAACACTGACCTCTAGTGCCATCTTGTGTAATATCACACAAACCCTTCCCAACAGGATGAACTGAAGGGAACAAAATAAGCCCAAATGTGACCCTGGAGCACAAAAGCAGTCATAAGTCGCTGGGGTATATTTGTAGCAATAGCCAACAATACATTGTATGGGTCAAAATTATACATTTTTCTTTTATGCCAAAAATCATTAGGATATTAAGTAAAGATCATGTTCCATGAAGATATTTTGTAAATTTCCTACCGTAAATATATCAAAACTTAATTTTTGATTAGTAATATGCATTGCTAAGAACTTCATTTGAACAACTTTAAAGATGATTTTCTCAATATTTAGATTTTTTTGCACCCTCAGATTCCAGATTTTCAAATAGTTGTATCTCAACCAAATATTGTCCTATCCTAACAAACCATACATCAATGGAAAGATTATTTATTCAGCTGTCAGATGATGCATACATCTCAATTTTAAAAAATGGACCCTTATGACTGGTTTTGTGGTCCACGGTCATATATGATCTCTAAATCTAGAGGCCTAGAGAGAACTCGATGAGATTTAGCAACAGGGGCGCAACTGCACATTTGCCGAGGGGTATGCAAGATCAGTGTCAGCACCCCCTGGATTCTAGTAGCCCCTATAACATTAACTCCTGCAGAAAACTTTCTGCAAGTCAGTGACCAAAAGCCCATTCACTAGCTTGTGCATGGAAGGATACAAACTCATCAGGAGTGAAAAAAAAGCGGAAAAAGTGGGGGAGGAGGGGGGAGTGTGTCACATAACATCTCCTGATGGCGGACCGCAGACGGTAGAGAAGACATTTTTTTAATTCATTTTTATTTTCAATGTAATATTGCTCACTTTTTAGTTAGGTAATTTGAATACACACACACACACACACACACACACACACATATATACATATATTAATTTGCCTCAAAGTTATTCATATTTTTGCACATTTTTATATAAAATGAGAACACTGTAAGTAAAATTTACTTTAAAGAACATCTGTATATATATATATTTTTTCATTTTTACTTATAGAGATAATTCATGGAAAACTGGCCATGCTAAGTTGAAGATTTCTGCCAAGATTTCACCTGATAGAAAAACAAATACTATTAAAATGAATGACCACTAGATGGCAGCAGAGGATCATTTATTGTCTCATTTACCATTTCCACTCTGTAATATAGTTCTTTTCACGTGTTTTACTAATGGATTTATATTTAGATATTATAAAATCACAATTATAGCATTTAAAAATATCCTTTTTTGTCAAAATTCAGCATTGTTTTGTATTGAAATATGAAGTAGCAAGAGTTTTCAACAAATCAGATCTACTTGAATCACACAGATGGCTTATTTTGAATTCAAAATGGCAATTTTCAGCGAAAGGTGGCTAGTTTGTATCCTTGTTTACACTCTTCTCAGTTTCTCTCAAATGTAAATCAAATCCACATTCACAAAAATTTTTATTTATGGTGGTTTATTTTTATTTTTTATTTTTTTAGCAACAGAGATACTCAGACATGAACTGATATTTGCACAGTGGCACATAAATCTTCATTATTTCAATATAGAAATGTATTTGACTATACTGGACTGTTTTAGTGCTTAAAACACAACTGAATATTAATTTGTAATTAGCTTGGTTCTGTGTCTCAACACCCCCAAAAGCTTGTTCTCCATCATTGCACAGGTTTACTCATGGATGAGACATGCAGATAACTACATAGTTTACTCAACCTTCACTGAATTTTATATAATCAGTGAACTCTGAAAAAAAAATCAAAAAAGCTAAATCAAGCTCCGTACAAAGGAAAATAAAAAAAAGTTCTCCTTTGGATCCCCATCTGCAATAATGTGAAAAAGGCCGGAAGTCAACAGCACATAAATGCCAGAATGTAAAATTAGTTATTTTGTGCATTTAAATATCGTTTCATTTTCATACTTTACAAATTAACGAAAAATCAGCGCTTATTTTCTAGTACAACTGCACTGTGCTCACATGTAGCCTACTTGTGCATTAAATTACAAATCAAAAATGCGCCCTATTGTGATCTCGAATTGCAGAATATTTCAGTACACAAGACTTTTTATCTTTTGCATCATTTTGCATGATGCAAATGTATTTTGATTTAAGGGTGTTTAGATATTGGCATTGGAAAACAAGACAAAAATACTGAGGAAGATTCATTTTTGCAATGCATATCTAATGTCATGACTTTATGAATATAACACTTTACAAACACGTTTAAAGCCTTCATTTGTGAAAAGCTTTTCAGTGTTTGTTCATGTTAGTTTACAGTGCATTAACTAATGTTAACAAATACAATGCTTCATTTTTTTAACGTATTAGTAAATGTTGAGATTAACATTATGACTAGTAAATGCGGTAGAATTACTGTTATTTGTTAGTTTATGTTAACTAATGTAGTTACTTAAACTTAAAACAAGTAAAAGGCTCATTAATGGCATCATGAAGAAGCAACTACTACTAGACATCAAACAGCAGCAGAAGATCAAGCAAAGGGAAGACGCACATACTGTACATACGCATTAACACTTTACTTAAAGCCTTTATGTAGAATGCATTATAAAAGTAGTTTTAACGCATTAATTATGCCTTGTAATGCACCTTATAAATTTAAATTTGGTTATGATTATGACAAGATATCACATACTACAATGCACATTAAGAATAATTATAATGCATTACAGCCTTTAATAACCCATTTTCAATGCATTATACATTAAAGCTTTAAGTAAAGTGTTACCGTACACGGAGAGCACAAAGAGAGGAAAGAGTGTGGAGTGAAAGAGCCATTTGCTTAGGTTTACTATTTGTAATTCCATTAGATGACACTAGTAGAGCAGAAACTGCTTAATCCAGCGTAAACTATGCAGCAAGTGTCACATGTCCTGAAAAGTGAAGCCAAAACGTTTTGATCGCCCTCTCCATGTAAACGAATGTTACGTGAGCCAAACTAAAAATTAAATTACATGTTTTTTTCCCAAAGATGGTTTCCGTCATTTCAGGTAGTTACATCACGGTAATGCACGTTCAAGTGTTCACTTTTCTAATAAGTTCACTAATTTTCTAATAATAACACGACTCCACCAATCACTACGCAGACTCCAGATGATGTCATCGAGAAGACAGACGGCTTCTTGTTTTGGCTTCACTTTTCTATTGTCCATCTTTATTTTTACAGTCTATGCTATGCACCAATTTGCATGAACATTGCATAAAGTCAGATTCAAAATTCATGCTTGATTTTTTGACATATTAGAGTTGAAGATGGATTTTAGATATCTACTGTATTTTTATCACTCCTCACATCAGGCACTCCAGAAAGTTTTAGGAATAAAGTGTTATATACAGTACTGTGCAAAAGTTTTAGGCCACTAGTATTTTCAGAAGCTAATAAATGGTTTTAAGTCAGTTATTTCTCTCTTTTGCTGTAGTGTGTCAGCGGGAAATATCAGCTTCCATTACCAAATATTTCATTCGTCTCCAAACACACAGACCTCGAACTCAGAGAACAGCGCCGGATCCAGCTTCTTAACGCCCTGCGAAGACACACACACGTCACACAGTAAGTCCAGAGCAAACAGAAGGACAGGCGAGGGAAGAGAGAGTACAGTAGGGGTGGAAGCGTCTGTCGAGGCAGATAACCTCAGCGGGAAGCGTGTCCTGCGGGAAGATTATAGACGCGCCTCCTATCTGTGTCCTCCACATGAAGAAGAAGCATCCACACACCGTACTGTCTGTCACACACACTCACAAACACA